CTTGAAATCTAGCCAGCTACGGAGGTCTAGTGGATGTATGTATCTTGGAGGAGAACTTACAATCTCCACTTTACTAAACCAGCATAATTCCTAACTATGATCTAAGTATTTGTCTTTATATCAACATATAAGTATAGTCTTCACTCCTCATCAAGGAAACTTCTCTTTCCACAGATAGAGACCATTATAGGGAACCACAACCAATCAAAATACAGAGTTGTGGAGCCCAGTCCGAAAGGATACATCTACAATACAACTCCTGTACCTAGGGCTTAGGAATCAGTGGAGAAGAGGGATCATAACAGCCAGAGGATCAGGGGGTTTGTTGTGAGGTTTTATCTTCTGGAAATGTCAGAAGCTACACCCATAAAGTCTCACGAATATGACTGCCTATGCATGAGCTGAGCAATAACAATAGACATGTGTATGTATATGGGTGGAGGAAGACCAGATGGCCTCAGCCCTACACAAAGAAGTACAGGCAGCTAAGGAAAGCTGAGAGTGGGAGAAGATATCTTCCCTAGGGAAGAGCACACTGATTGGTTATTCAATACCAATGGTCATCCCTGAAAACATACATACCAGTAACATGATACAGACTGAGCAGGTTGTATTCATGTATTTAGGAATACATACATATGTGTGTGTGTGTGTATGTATATAACAACAATTAATGAAAAAGAGAATATAAGAAAAATACAGGATGAGGGAGGTGGGTAAAATAACAATAAAGATATCTGAAAAAGCAACAAGGAATAATATTATTAATTATTTGCCTTTAAAAAACCCAATAATGCACACACAATTCCATGTATAAATATACATATATAGTTTTAATGAACTTTTCTTATCTGGGCTGATGGTACTTGCTCTAAGAACGGAAGACCACCTTACAAAAACTCCAGTCCTAGACATGAGAAACCCCCTTTTGAGTTGTTGGTCAGGGTTGTCCAAGAGACTCCCCTAACATACAGCCTATTGTTGTTGCCCTTGGCTTTCTCCAGAGGTGGAGGGTAAGTCCCTATTGCTGAAGACATTACCCCCTTCAGAAACGGCCCAGAGGCCCTGAGCTGGAACTGACCTGAATGTTCCCTCCCTCAGGACTAGCTTTCATGGCATCAGAAGATGCCATGGAAACTTCCAAAGGAGGGAGGTAGCCAACAGTCCTACTCAGCTTTGATGCCTATGCACCACATCAGCAACCAGCATGGCACCATAGTCTCACAGGTGCAGTAGTGGCACACATACCTTGGCAGTAATCAACAGCTCTCCAATTGGACTTTAAACCTGCTCAACAAGAGGTGTGCCCTGCCTGGTACTGGAAACCTGACTAACTAGTCAGTGCTAATGAAGTCATGGTCATTGGAGAAGAATCAACAACCACTAATTTAATAAACCAGCACAATCTATAAACATTTATCCTTATACACACAGGTAAGTGAATCTTCATCCCTCATCAAGAAAACGCTCTTTTCAAAAGATGGAGGCCAGTATAGGAAACCAGTATAGAAAATGTAGAGTTGTGGATTCCAGTCCCAATGGGTACATCTACAAAATAGTCCCACAGCTTAGGCCCAGAGAACATTGAGGAAGAGGAGACAGAAAGACTGTAAGAGCCAGAGGATCAGGAAGTTTGCTGTGAGACTGTGTCTCCTGATACATCAGAAGCTACACCCATAAAGTCTCACCAACGTGACCACCCAAATGTGAGCTGAACAAGGATGACGCTGGTGAACATTCCAGTCTGGATGGGGAAAAGCCCATGAAGAAAAGCCCCACACAGAGAGTTATAGGCAACTGAGGAAAGCTGGGAATGGGAGAGGTGGTCTTCTCCAGGGATGAGCACACTAACTGGTTGTCCAGTGCCATATGGTCAGCACTGAAAATGTACATATAAGTAACATTCAGATCCAACAGGTTACATTTTAGGAATATATATGTATATGCAAATACATATATGCATGTAATAACAATTATTGAGAAAAGAGGCCGTGGATTTGAAAGAGAGCAAGGAAGGCTGTATGGGAGCATTTGGAGGAAGGAAAAAGAAGGGAGAAATCATGTAATTATAATCTCAAAAAAGAAAAAAAAACTGCTTATTCATGACTCTGCTAAGGGTACATTGATTAACTTGGTCATGAAAAGTTTGTTCTCTAGATTGGATGTTGGAAACCTATAACCTGTGAGTTGGCGTGTGTGTGTGTGTGTGTGTGTGTGTGTGTGTGTGTAAGATTTTGTTGGAACACAGCTATGCTGATTTACTTACATGTTGTTTAGGCAGCCTTTGATGCTCCAGTAGTAATACTGAGTAGTTGCTATAGAGATCATATGAACCACAAGGATTAAAATATTTTTGAGGTGACTCTTTAAGGTGATATTATAATCTCAAGAAATAAATAAAAATTGGTCAATATCTTTCTTTTAAAAATGTATTTTGAATTATAATAGAATTACATTACTCTCTGTCTTCTCTTCTGTCCCTCCAGCCCTACCCAGCCTCCCTCCCTCAACCCCTTCCAGGTCCCGTTTCCCAAGTTGGTAGCCTTTTTCTGTGATATATATATATATATATATATATATATATATACACACACACACACATACATGCATGTGTATACACAAATATGCATAAATGCAACTTGCTGAGAAACAGATGTGTCACTGTTTAAGTCTTTTGTAATTAGATTGTGCTAAGATTCTGGTGGCGATAGATGAGGTTTGCCTTGTGTTTGATTCTGCTTCATCCTAAGACAGAAATCATGGAACAACTAAATAAGACAAAACATGGTTACTGTGGTGTTAGTCTCCATTCTTCTTACCGTAGCAGGGATGATACACCTTGGTATTGCTGCGAGGAGTAAGTGAGAAATGCAAATTCTAAACCTTGTGATCATGCTCTCCCTCTTATTTTTATGCGGCAATGCATGTTCTCCATCTTCGTCATGTATGTATGTCTGTTCTTACTACAGCAAATGTGACAGCGGATCTCGATATGTTTCTTGAACTGTGGTACTAAGGGTTCACGAAGGCCTGGTTTTCTTCTAGAAGATCAGATAGAAGATGGATTCCCACACTTTGAAGGGAACTTAAAAATCTAGCAGTGATGATATTGGTGCTGCAGTCTTAGGTAGGACCCTTGGTTATTATTGTCAGGTCCAAATTCTGCAAGTTAGACCAAAGCCCAGGTTCCTCTGGAGTTCGTGAAGCTGGTTCCCCTCTACCAAAGGAACCAGTCCCCTTATCACTGGCCGAAGGGACAAATGGCTCTCTGTGGTGCCTGCTAGTAAACCAAAGCACACACTGGCCTCCAGGCTCCCTCGGTATCACAAGTACCTGTTCCACATTTCAGAGACCCTCTCCTTTCATGGCCATGGCCAGTCTGCTGGCCATGTTCGGTGTTCTCCTTTCTCTCTCTGCTCTGGACTCTTTCAGAAGCCTCTGGTGTTGCCCTCCCCCCATACCTACAATAAAAACCTGCTCATTCATTCCTTGGAGTGATCATGCCCTCAGTTTATACAGTTACGTTTTTGTTTGGCTAGAACACTAATTTCAGAGGCTGAGTTATTTTACTTGAAAGGAATAATTAGATCACTTTGAAACTTGGAACCTCATTCCTTCAAGTTACTGTAAAACCAACATTAATATACGAAAAACAACCTTACATTTTTTGAGATTTATTATTTTGTAGTGGTTTTTTAGTTCTTGATGTTTTCACAGAAACAATCCTACAATGAGATAGTATTAGAAGAAGCTTAGATATTTGTGTCAATGACCCACTTGAAATTTGTTATTCACAGTAAATTTAATTCTACTGTAGCCCTACTAAGTTCTCCTGTGGATAAAGGTAGCAGAATTTCTCAGGAATGTTCCCTTTTTACAGCCGTGACCTCAGCGTATTAAAACTAAATTTTATACATAATCATCTTATTAAAAGCAAAATACCCTTTTTGCATTCTTATTTTAGATTAGGCTGGGATTTCAATACAGACAGACATCAATCTCCTCTCTTCACACCCAGGAGACCAAGTCACACAGGGACTAAGTAGTTTTCTTAGAACTGCGAATTGAGTCAGTGTAAGATTAGGAGTGTAAATGTTGAATTTATCTTGTTTTAGATATTTACAGAACCAGGTGATGGGGGTTGAAAAGTAATTGTATGTCTGGAAACAGGAATCATGGAAGATTTAGGGTTGTTTCAGTTTCTTGTATTTTCTTGATATGGAGAGATTGTGAGTGTTATCTTGCTGGGGTTTGGGGGTAGTGGGAGGAGCTGTAAGACTCAGTGAGGTACAGTTAGTATTAGCATGCTTACGTGGATGGGAAAAACAGCAAAGACAGATTTGGAGGTGGAGGGAAAGACAATGTATTTACAAGCAGCAGGTTTTGTTTTCCATTCCTTGACGAAGTTGCTGATTAACTCTTACCTGGCCGAGACTCAGGCTCTTCTGCCCTTCTCGGCTGGAGCAGCCATCACAGGAAGCAGTAGTTGGCTGTTTCTGAGTCCTCCAGAAGGCAGGCCTGTGTACTTAGCTGTGGTTTGTATGTAAGGGGGCTGTGTTATGTCTGCCAGTGGCCTTGTTGCCGCGGCCCTCTCTCTCTCTTGCCAGATGTGCAGCTGAATTCCTTACTTCCTATAATAGAATCTGGTCTCCATGGTCTGCTTTTCATTTTAGGGCCTTCCAGAAGTCTGTTCCATCGTCTGGGGTTTCATTAGGCTTTCCTAATCATTCCAATTCTGTTTGTGTTTTACTTTTTCTCCAAAATCATGTTTAGACCAAAAAGGTCTTAGTTTTCTTTAGACTGTACAGGAAGAGACATGAACAAGTTGATTATTGAAACACTAATTTAACAAGTATCTTAGGTAGTTTATGCTTTTACTTCCTGTTGTTTATGATTTTGGAATATTTTACGTTTTCTTTTTAATAGGCTTATTGCTGTGTAAACTTTTTTGTCCTGTGAACATTATGAATAATCTTATGGTGAATTTGGTTTTCTTGCAGTCCAAGGCGGTTGGCTTGTTAGATGTAGATGTGTATGGCCCTTCCATTCCAAAGATGATGAACCTGAAGGGAAATCCAGAATTATCACCAAGTAAGTACAAAGAGATAAATAGTACCCACTGACTGTCAGGCACTTGTTTATATGTCATGTAGTGTAGGAGATCAGAAATCACGTTGGCATCAGTCTCTCTGGGTTTGAATCTGTTCTGTCATTGACCAACTGTGTGGCTCTGAGGAATCCATCCTGTCTTGTTGTGCCTTGGCCCCTACACATACAACAGAGTCACAGTTACTGTGAGAAATAATGTAAATGGAACATTCAGAACAATTCCTAGTACTAGTACATGATAAAAATATTAAGTATCCATTATTTACAGTATGTATGTACATGTATGAGAATATTTGAGTAGAAATATATTTGTATTTAATGAAAGTTATATTTTACAAACAGATTTTTGTCACATTTTTCTTAGAGCATCTATAAACTCCTCAAAACAATGGTTTGTTGCCATGTGGTTTTAGTACCATTGGTATAGGAAGAAGTAGCTTTTTGAATAAATCTTAAGTATTTTCACTGTTCATATTTGTAAGGCTACCAAATATAGAGTCTTTCTTTTCTGTTTTTTCTTGTTTTGTTTTTTGTTTTTTGTTTTTTTGAGACAGGGTTTCTCTGTGTAGTTTTGGTGCCTGTCCTGGATCTTGCTCTGTAGCCCAGGCTGGCCTCAAACTCACAGAGATCCGCCTGCCTCTGCCTCCTGAGTGCTGGGATTAAAGGTGTGCGCCGCTGCCACTCGGCCAAATATAGAGTCTTTAGTATAGGAAATACAGTCATAAAAATGGTAAAAACTGGTTATTAAAAATGGTTTTACATGAAATTGTTCTAAATAAAATTGATTTCTAATTGTTACAATATATAAAATTGAATAATTTCTTTTTTATAGGCCTTCTGTTTTCTAGAACAAAATATGTGTATTTATATATTTATTAGGTTATTGAGGTTATTGTATTGTTTTTATTATAATTAAAATTGATTAGGCATTATTTGTTCTTTAAGGTAGTTATGTATGTGATTTATTTGCAGGCATCAATTATGCAGAAGTTTAGATTATTCTTTATGAGACAACAGATCTTAGGGGTCTTATATGACCTTAGGGGTCTTATATGACCTTAGGGGTCTTTTGCAAACAGCCCCTTCGTAGTTGTTTCCTTATCTCATGAAAACACCTGAAAAGGCTTCTCCTTTTGGTGCAGCACAGTTTGCAAACATGTGACATGATCCCTGATGTCAGTGTCACCAAGGAAGAGTGGTGATGACTTCAGGCACTCTGAACATCTGTGTCCTTAAGGACGAGTGTGAAAACTGACCCACATCACACAGGTGTGGTGCAGAGCGCAACCCCCCTTTTCTCAAGCAACACTTGAAATGAACTTCAATGCACTAGAAACCTTGGAAAGCTTGAAAAGCAAAACAAAACAACAGCCTCAAGCTCGTTCTGTGATGCACGGTGATCTTGGTTCCCTAGGAAATAAATGGGATGACTTAGGTCTTCCAAGACAGTGTGAATTCTTAAAACCCCAGCAGTAAGTTATTTTTTGAGTCTTACAAAACTTGGTACCATCATACTAGTAGGCCTTTTGACATTTCTGCATGTTGTCATGTTAATTTGCTCTGTCCTACTGTTACAGAGAATACAGCACAGCATAAAATTATCTAACGATATTGAAAAACTATGAGAGACATGTTTAGGCTGGAGACAGGTTCCAGTGACCTGGAACTTCCTCTTCCTGGATTGAGCTGGGAACTCCGGAGGCCAGTGGCTTCAGTATTGCCTCTTTTCTTTATTATCTACATTGATGCATGATAATGTAGTTTTCATTGATTTGGTCATTAAAAAACCCAGTGGTAAAGTGTATAGATTATGTGTTTTTCCCATTCTCCTCATAGTCTTTTCCTTGTTGAGAGAATTCCACAACTTGTGGAATTAGGACATTATAGACTTGACTATCAAGAGAAATTTTATATTTGATCAAGGAAAGTGAATTTAGTAATTGATGGAAAAACCCAAATTTATAATAGTTTTTGGTTTCTTTTTAGTTTTTTAATTTATTTTTATTTTTTTATTTTTTTTTTTGAAAATAGATTCTTCTCTCATACAATACGTTCTGATCACAGTTTTCCCTCCCTCCACTCCTTCCAGTTTGGCACCCCCTTCCCCAGATCTACTCCCCCTTTTCAGAAAAGAGCAGACCTCCAAGAGACAACAGCCAAACAGGACAAAACACAATATAATAAGACAAGACAAAAGCTCATATAGAGGCTGGACAAGGCAACTCAATAGGAGGAAAAGAGTCCCAAGAGCAGGGAAAAGAGTCAGAGACACACCCGCTCCTACTGTTAGGAGTTCCGCAAAAACACCAAAGCTAACAGCCATGACATATATGCAGAGGACCTGGTGCAGACCCATATGGGTCCTGTATTTGCCATTTCAGTCTCTGTGAACCCATGTGAGCCTTGTTTAGTTGATTCAGTGGGCCATGTTCTGGTGTCCTCCATCCCCTCTGACTCCTACAGTCTTTTCTCCTCCTCTTTTGTGGGGTTCCCAGATCTCTGAGGGGAGGGACCCAATGGAGACCTCCATTTTAGACTCTGTCTACATAATGTCTGGCTGTAGGTCTCTGCATCTGCTCCCATTTGCTGCTGAAGGAAGCCTCTCTAATGACAAGTGGACAAGACACTTGATCTATGAGTATAGCAGAATATCATTAGGAATAATTGTATTGATTTTTTTCCCCAGTTATGTTTGGTTCCATCCTAGGCCTCTGGGCCATCCAATTTCTGGTATCTGGCCATCCAGGCAGTGTAGTGTGTGGGCTTCCTCTCATGGCTTGGTCTGAAGTTAAACCAAACATTGGTTGGCCAATCCACGATTTCTGAGTCACCATTGCCCCAGCATATCTTGCCTGTAGCACAATTTCTGGTTATTATGAATAAGACCACAATAGTTGGGAAAATGTCCTTCTGGTAGGATGGCATGTTCTTTGGGTATATACCCAAGAGTAGCATAGCTGGGTCTTAAGGTAGATTGCTCACCAATTTTCTGAGGAACTGCTATATTGATTTCCATAATGACTGTACAAGTTTGCACTCCCACTAGTAAAGGAGGAGAGTTCCCCTTGCTCCACATCCTCACCAGCATGAGCTGTCACTTGTGTTGTTGATCTTGGTTACTCTGACAGGTGTAAAATAGAATCTCAAAGTAGTTTTCATTTGCATTTCCATGATGGCTAAGCATGTTCAACATTTAAGTGTTTTTCAGCCATTTGAGATTCCTCTATTGAGATTTAGATTTGTACCCCATTTTAATTGGATTATTTGTTTTTTTAATACCAAATTTCTTGAATTCTTCATATATTTTGGATATTAGACCCCTCTCAGATGTGGAGTTGGTAAAAATCATTTCCCATGTTGCCTTTTTGTCTGATTGATGTTGTCCTTTGCCTTATGAAGCTGAAGAGTGTAAGGACACCATCAATTGATAAAGTTCCATTTATTAATTGTTGATCTTAGTGCCTGTTCTATTGGTGTTCTGTTCAGGAAGTTGTCTCCTATGTCAATGCTTGTTGTGGTATAATCTTTTAGTACACTGTAAAGATGTGTCTCTGCCTAAGGTGCCTTCTGATTGGTTTAATAAAAAGCTGAACAGCCAATAGCTAGGCACGAAAGAATAGGCAGGACTTCTGGGCAGAGAGAGGAACTGGGAGAGGAATCTAGGCCTGGGGATTTCACCAGTACACTTGGAGCAAGTGGGACATACCATACTGAGGAAAGGTAAAGGCCACATGGCAGAATATAGATTAAGAGAAGCAGGTTAATTTGAGTCATAAGAGCTAGTTGGGGACAAGCCTAAGATAAAGGCCAAGTTTTCATAATTAATAAGTCTCCATGTCATTTTTTAGAGGCTGGAGATCAAAAGATAGTCCAACAAGAAAGCTTGCTACAAATACTTTCAAGACTGTTCTTTACTTTCTTTTCTATCTGGTTCAGTGTGTCTGTTTTTATGTTGAGGTCTTCAATCCACTTGGACTTGTGTTTTGTGTGGGGTGATAAATATGGATCTATTTTGTTTTCTTTTATGTGCAGACATCCATTTTGACCAGCACCATTTGTTGAAGATGCTTTCTTTTTTCCAATGTGTCTTTCTGGCTTCTTTATAAAAAAAAAAAAATCAGGTGTCTATAGGTGTGTGAGTTTATGTCTGGGTCTTCAGTTCGATTCCATTGATCAGTGTGTCTTCTTATGCCAATACCATGAAGTTTTTATTACTATAGTTCTTTAGTACAACTTGAAATCGGGGCTGGTGATACCTCCAGCAGTTCTTTTATTGTTCAGGGTTATCTTAGCTATCCTGGAGTTTTTGTTTTTCCATATGGAATTGAGAATTGTCCCTTCAAGGTCTGTAAAGAATTGTGTTGGGATTTTGATGGGAATCACACTGAATCTGTAGACTGCTTTGGTAAGATGGCCATGTTTACTATGTTAATCTCACTGATCCATGAGCATGGGAGATCTTTCTATTTTCTGATATCTTCTTCAATTTCTTTCTTCAAAGACTTGGAGTTTTTTTTTTTTATCATACAAGTCTTTCACTTGCTTGGTTAGAGTTATCTCAAGATATTTTATATTACTTGAGGCTATTGTGAAGGGTGATGTTTCCCTGATTTCTTTCTCAGTCTATTTGTCATTTGTATATAGGAGGGCTTTTTTTTATTTATTCATTTTATTTTACAATGTAATTTAATTCTACATATCAGCCACTGATTCCCTTGTTCTCCCCCCCCCCCGCGTCCCCCCCGCGCCCCCTTCCCCCCAGCCCACCTCCCATTCCCATCTCCTTTAGGGCAAAGACTCCCCCGAGGATTGAGATCAACCTGGTAGACTCAGTCCAGGCAGGTCCAGTCCAGGAGAGCTTTTTTTTTTAGTTAATCTTGAATCCAGTCACTTTGCTGAAAATGTTTATCAGCTGTAGGATTTCTGTAGTGGGATATCATCTACAAATAACGGTACTTTGACTTCTTCCTTTTCAATTTGTA